TAATAAATAAGGAATTAGTACAATCCTCACTGTTTATCATTTTATGCACATACAACCAAGACACAACACACATATAGAGTTACCTTTTCCACCCCTGATATAACTGGTAGAAAGAGGAAAAGAGGCCTGAGACCTAACAAGAGATTGTCTTATATTGTGTAGTTGATGTGCTGACACATTTCAGTTACTAAGCTCCTGTTTCCTGGACTTTGACGGCAAAAAGTAACCTTAAGGGATATTTATCACCATTTAAAGTTTTTTTTAAATGACTGAAAATGTCTGAAAGATAACTGAAACCATTTAAGAATAAGGTTTTACATTAACCACTTGAAAAACTGATCCCATTTTTAGAAACACATCTGCAGCAAAAATAGTACATAAATTTTCTAAACTAAAACTGCTTTAGGTTTGGTTTCACATCAAAAGAAAATACAGGTGGAGCAAAATACTGTGAGCTTTGGCTTTTCATTATCCCCCACAATAAATTCATTGTTGAGATTCTGCTGCACATTTAACACATCTCAAAATCAATATTCACTTCTGGGAATATGAGAAAAACTATAAATCAAGCCCACAGATAGAAATTACAACACATATTAATTCAGATTTTGTTATATAAGATTGCATTGTAACACAACACATTTTTTCCCCTTAAATTATCTAAGAATGTCACCCAGAACACAGAATTGGAAGAATAAAACACTATACAACGATTTTGATGCCAAAAGTTCCATTTATGCTACAGGCACTAAATAGGACAGTGCCATGAGTTCAGCACAAATCCAAAACACAGCCCCATACTAGCCACTGTGAAGAAAGTTAACTCCACCCCAGTGAAAACCAGCACAGTGTGACATATCTCCTCTCTCTATTTCAGTGAAACAGAATAGGACTGATACCAAAGAATACAGCAGACAGCATTCTCAACTTCAGAAAATTATTTCAACACAAAAAAAACTGGTCAAGGACTGTGTTTTGGTTTTAGGAGTCAAATACATTTCACCGATGTAAACACCAGAATCTCCAACAAACAAGTTGATCAGGTGAAGCTCACTTTTAAATCCAGGGCAACAACCAAATTGAAGCCATTGTTTCCATTATTGAGACCAAAGAATGAACAGAAGTTCTCCAATCCCATTTTCATAGTATGCAAATGCCACTAGAGTACCATAATGCACTATAACTATTCTTCTGCTACAGAACACACATACACTTGTGATCCAGTATTCCAATTCCTACTTTGCAGGAAAGGGGGGAAAAAAAAAAAAGCTTTACTTACTGCTTTAAAAAATTTCTCAGATAGCTGGCATTTGGACCCAAAACTTTTAGGTTGCAATGTCATGTTTTCCTTTGTCTGGGAATCAAATGACGGGTTTTCAATCAAACAATTAACAAAAACCCATATATGATTCTTCACCTGTTGAAAACATGGAAAACAGTTTACTCAATAGAATTCCCACATTCCCCTTTTTCAAGATTTTTGTATAAAGTTACTTGCCTGAAATGGTTTCACTGAAACTCCAGCTTTATTCTTCTTTTTCACCACTTCTATCAGTTTGCCCACAACCTGATCCACCACGTAGTCAACATGCCTACCACCCTGAATGAAGAAGAAAAAAACCAAAAACAAAACAACCATTGAATTTCCTAATAGCTTTTAGCTGTATGAATAAAGTTCCTGTAGTCATACTTAAATTTGGAAATCCATGCATACTTTGCTTTAAAGTTTCTCTTTCAAGCCATTCAGTCTTCATTCAAGTGAGGATGACAGAAGCTACACAGCACAGAAGAAGTAGGAGACCTTTCATTCACTGTACAGTTGTGGATTTCAAATGCAGCTGCTTACAGCTTTTAACAGGATAGAAAACCTTAAGAGTATGTGTGCTGGCTTGGATTTTTATTCCTCTGTTGTACCATAAGAGCTGAAAGTGAAACATTCCTAGTGCCTGTCAGAATTCTTCTCTTTACACTATATGAAAGGGGGCTGAGTACTGGTTATTCTTGCCTAAGGCCTTTTCAACCAGGTATTTCAAATGGCTTTAAGACGACACAGGGGAGATTGGAATGGGATAATAGAAAAAATTTTCCACTGTTAGGGTGGTCAGGCATTGGATTAGATTGTCCAGGGAGGTGGTGGAATCACCATCCTGGAGGTGATTAAGTGGCATCTGGATTTGACACTGGGTGATATGGTTTAGTGGTTTAGGGGTTACAGTGGTGGTGCTGGGTGAATGGTTGGACTGGATGATCTTAAAGGTCTCTTTCAACCTTGAGGATTCTATGTTTCTAAGCCTCTATAGCAAGAAAACTTTTGGTGTATGCAATGTTTTCAGCTCCCACCTATGATACCTAATACAACAGATGCTGAGGAAGAAATAATTTATTTACTTAAACTTTGGAACTAGTAAGTCAGTAAAGTTACCTTTCTGAAGACATATATAACTCATGCTTTGCAATACAGCAGAGTGAAGAAACAGATTATTTCCAGTCTTTAAATAGTAGTGTTATTAGTAAAGAAATTCAGTTTAAATAAGGAAGCACTAAGCATTTGAACACCTTCAGAAAGAGCCCTAAAGCTTCTGTCACATTCTCTAGCTACAATTCTCTTTGGACTTAGACAACCAGGAATTAAAACAAAACAAAACAAATCATACTGCTAGAAGACAAGTAATTCTGGTATTAAAGTGCTTGGAAAAATAAAAGCATTTCACATAAGCTTTCTGGGAAAAACCCAAATGCAAACAGTCTGTTGCACTTCTATTACATTCTAACACTGACTACTGATTTACATGTGTAAGATAAACCTAATAATTATGGGGTATGTTCCACAATGCAGAAGTAAACTGAATCGGAACCACTAGTAAAGACTTATATCATAGATAAAACATGACAGATTAGGAACAACAACTGGTATTTGAAGGTATGTTTCCTGTAGTCTTTAATTCTGTGGAACAAGAACTACAGAAATTGCCTGAACTGGTGGTGAGAAACATGTTTAAATATTAACAAGTCCATGGGGAGACAACTTCCCTTACAGGCAGAGAACATCAGGCTTTCTTTGAAAAGATGTCAAAAATACGAACAGTCCTAAACTCCTGGTTATCTGAAAGCTGTTCATATTTTTTCATTATTCAAATGCCATCCTTAAAATTTGTAGATGAACAGGCAAAAATATTAATAAAATGTTAGATTCTAGTGGCTGTCATAGGAAGTTCATGATATTTCAACTAAAATCTATTATCTTGTAATGAAGAATGGAATGACTCAGGCATATTCAATAGAATTAAAACATACCAACACTCCATATTTTACACAGGTCACCTTTGCTTTATGTCAATTAGTGCCTTACAAAAATACAGACAAATACTGTTTTCTGTTCAGACCAGTTTGCATTAGGAAATACAAAATAAAGAAAAAATGCTTAGTGAGATATTAATCATGTGGTAACAAACCCTATTAAAAAACCTCCTCCTTTAAAGCTGTTTTTAAAACAGAACTGAGGAGAAAAAAAAGCTTTCGATGGGTATGAAGAAGTACAGTATAGATAAGAAATAAGAAACAGAAAACAACACCACGAAGAAAATACAGCAGCCGAAAAGCCGAAAAACAACTAGCGAGAAAATCCCAAAAGTTATGATTCTACCCTCTAAGGCAGAGTGTACATCAGAAAACACTGAAGATGTAAGGTGGTTGAACTGATGGGAGATAGCAGCTGTGTTCTCAACTTCATGCAGAAAGTAGAGATCAAAAAAATGAGGAGGTAAAACCAAAATGGTTAAGATGGTAAATATTATTAGTCATAATCAAACCAGTACTTGCACTTCAAAGAAACCATCTATGGTTTCTGTCAGTCCCTTGAGTCACCTATTAAAACAGCAACCAAACAAACCACTGGTGTGTTTTAGAAGCACCATATCAAGTATTTGTTCATGGCATTTCTTCTAAAAAACAATCAAAACCACACCCAAACCTCAAAAGCCACCAAAAGTAAAACACAAATGTTTTTATTCACATATGGATGACAGAGTTTCAGCATAGGCAGAGTTCAACTGAAATCTGATATATCAATATCCTGTCACTTTGGAGGAAAAAAAAAAATCCATTTCCAAAATCTAAGGAAAAGCTACTACAGGAAAATACCAAATTACATGTTTCAAAATCATTCTACATTTGAATGGCAATTTTTAAATGCATTACTTTTACTAATCACACTAGTGAAAACTCATGCTGACAGGAACATCTCAGTATATTTCTGTACTTACAACTTTAGCAAATTTTATGTTTGTATTTTTTATTTTACAATTCTAGCACTACAAATGTTTTGCTAAAACTCACATCTGACATATCAATAAAACATCAACGTACCAGTAATTCTTGTTCTTTATAAGTTATTATATGAGTTCCCCATTTCTGTGTCCATTCTTAAGTGTGCAGCCATGAGTGAGGGATGCTCAGCACTCAGGGGTGGGAACCTCTCAACCCTCTTACCAGTAGGTGGCACATGTACCCACTATGGAACCTAACAGCCTACAACTGCCTCAGCTGTCTGGACAATCGCAAGCGAGACACAAAAAGAAAAGCACCCTCTAAATCTAGAGGGCTATCAATGATTACTGAGAATTCTGCATTACGGGAAAAGAACACTAAGAGTGTAACCTTCTTTTTCCAGAAGGTAATGACTGAATCCCAGTCTTGCAAGCTTTGGGATGCAAAGGCACCTAAGGAAATGCTAACAACTAAAATCTTAAAAATAAAGCTGTGACTGCCTCCTATATACATCCTATTCTCATCATCAACAGCTCAAATCGATTCATATGTAATCCATACTTAAATTCTATGGATAGATAAGTGGTTTATATGGCAGAAAACTTCAGAAGCTCATTATAAATCAACAAATAAATAAATCAAACAAATTGCATTTGTTTTCTATTCTATTTGTTTTAATAGAATGAATCTGAAAATAGGAATAGTCCTGAATACGTTGCTGAACTCCAGCGAATTTTAACAGGCTGGGATTCTCCCCCATCAAATCTACTCTTTGACACTGCAACTGTATTAGATGAGCATTTCTGCTAAAATTACCAGTCAGATTACAGTTAGCAGTGCTACCATAATATAAACATCATTAGATTGTTATGTTAATAACTGAAGTTTCTACTACAATTTCTACCACAGCTACTATTTGAAATTCAGAGCTTAAGAAGACCATGTGTAATCAGTTTGCAAGTCTCACTAAAGGTTATCTGTACAGCTGTAATAGCTACAAACATTCTTTCAGATGCTGCCTCAGAGCCTGAGTTGATTTCTGTGGTGGCTTACGGTGGCAAAATTTTGAATAAATGTGGAGCTGACCAAGATAACAAATTTAGAAGAACCAAACAAGGGAGCTGCGCCTCAACATAGTGCCTGACTTTCCAAACACCCCATCAACCTAAATTAAAAAAAAAAACCAAAAAACTTGTTTGGAATTTATAGCAAATTTAAAAAAGGTGGAAGGGAAGTTACGACTGGGTGGAACTTATCGAGAAACAGAAACTGAAAGCTGAAATGAGCTCCTCACCTGTTAGCAGATAAGGGACAGGCAGCTGGCACAGTTAGCTACTAGCCATTATGTCTCATCAGTGGGCAGCTGCACATCAATTGCTGGTGAGGTGGTTCACCGGCCCCGAACACTCCACATCCAGTCACACACATAAGGCATGGATCCGGAGAGTGGGAAAAACTAGAAATTACAACACTTACCTTTGAAGAATACATAGCACTTTTTTCTATGAATTTTCTTAAAGAATATATGATAACAATGTATGCGTAACCGCATGACGGGTGAAAATTGATCCAAAAGAGTAAAATTCAAAATCTTTTGAGTAAGTGTATGGAGTATGTTTGACTTAAGAGCCAATAAGCATTCATTTTTTCAAACACATTTTCTTAACCTGTTATCAAACATAATTAACTTTCTCTACATTGCCAGTTTCTTCATAAAAGTATTGTTCACATCCTTAAGGTCATGTTATTTTTCTTATTTATGCTGCATAAAGAGGACTGAATTAAAACTTAGTTGCAACCCTTCAACTACCAGATGCATTTGTCATCCCTAGTTTTGACGAGTAACAGATAAGAATGTCATTAAAACGCACATGTAGAAAGTAAATATTCTACAATGACATAAACTATACCCCTTACCACTGAACATTTGTTCAGTTACACTGAAAATGACACTGGAAGAAGTTATGTAGTAAAAATTATATCCCACCAAAACACTGGCTACACATCATCTGCCACAAAGACTAACACTGGTATTTTAGGCACCTGTTAGACTAGGAACGTTCACTTAGTGCAACCACTGCTGCTTACAAACCATTTGTGCTACCATTAGAATTTTTTTCTGACTCTTTCAGAAGAGATCTGAGCCAGGAGAAGGTTTTAGGTGTCTGATTACCAATTCTTATCTTCCTCATCTTTTGTAAAGCTCACAGTTAAGATTCCCTAAAAACAGTCTCACCAATGACTAGAACTGTTTATTCTAGTCTTGGTAGATCTAGATCATTAGATCTCCTAGATCTAACTAGAGAGTCTAGTTGTTAGATCACTCATCCAGTGCAATCTGTGAAGAGGAGAAATGACAAAGACTTTCTTTCACTGTGGTAGATCCCAGATCCTTAAACCTGGGCCATGCCGAATGGGCATAAATGAGTTATGCTGGTTGATTTCAGGTGACTGCCTTGGTGCCTGACCACCCCAGCAATCTGAGAAGCACAAAATTGTACTTGAGCATGCTGAGCATATTGCTGCTTTCTCACAACTGAAGATTTTTATATTACATCATTTTGCTAGTACTGTAGTTGCTACTAAGTGTGAAGAAGACCTCATTACTCTTATAAGGACACACAAATAAAAGAAAATTAATCTCAACACTTCTGGCCAATTATATACATCATAAAGCAATAAATGGACAGCCATTTTTCAAGAACAGCACAAGCCATTTCTGCCCTCTAAAACTTGCCACTGGTAGCTTTAAAGGGGCTTGTACACTTTATCTTATTTTCAGAATTATCTTATTACAATGTGTTAAAAAGGAATAAATGAGTTTCATTAGCTGTCTTCAATACCATGTATGCTCATATAATACATCAGTATCACTGATAATGATTATCAGTATTTTCAAAACTAGTGCATATGTAGAAATACTTCTATGAATGTATTTGATTGCAACCAATTCCTCTGAGAGATCCTCTTGTGCAAATGATTAGCTCATCTATTTATTCTGCAACCAATTGCTCTGAGAGATCCTCTCGTGCAAATGATTAGCTCATCTATTTATTTGTAGTAACACAGACTTATTTTTTTATCAAGTACCTGACCGGGCATAACCTCAATGCACATTTTATCATTCACGTGTTTTACTGTTTAACGCAGCTACTCACCTTTGTGGTAGCTATACTATTTACAAAGCTGATTTGCTGGAAGCCCTTCTCACTCAGAGTGAGGCACACGTCCCACCGCTCGTTCACAACTTCGTGAATAACTTTGAGGGCGACACCGGTTTCATCCAGTTTGTCTTTTACGTAAAGATCTACGTAACTGCGAAACCCATTTACCTACAAGGAACACAGGCAACAATCACTACTCTTCCTGTCAAGTACTCAATGCACTCAAGATATTTCAAATGATGCTCTTACAGGTAATTTCTTCCCATTCAACATGACTTTGACTCCTTTGCATGACCCAGCCAAATCATACGCCCGTCTTGTCATGAGGGCCACAATATCCTTATCAAGTTTTTCCATTTTAAATTTAGACAGATCTGGTTGGAATGTAATGCATGTGTAGTCATCACCATCAAAATGCTTAATCTTGGGGTCAGAGGTCTTCATCATGTTGTTCATCCAAGTCTTTGGAAAGAAAACATTTTAGATGTTAGTTTACAACACGTTATCCTCCTCTCCTCCTTTGTTCCCTTTTCCAGCTATGCTAGGATTACAACACCTACACAACAAAAAGCTCACAAACTTTTTAGAAGTTTCCTCTGGTAAAACACTACACAAAATGAACTGATTTACAAAGATAAGCACAAGCATAGCTGACAGCACATCTGTGGTTTCTGTAACCATGCAGGTATCATTACAATGATGGACATGATTTGAATGCAAATAGAGACCACACAGAACTTACTGAATTAAATACAAGTGAGTTAAACCGTCCTTATTGCCCATCAGTTTAATGCTTTGAATCTACTACACATTTCTACAGAGAGGCTTACTAGTCCCTGTGCAGAGACTCAGTCTCTGAGAGCATCCTGGCGGCTGTGCAGTGTACCAAAGCAAAGCCTCTTGGTAAAAACAAGGTGTTCAGACTGGAATCTTGGTATTGTACCCTATTTAAGAACATGGGCACGTTTTTGTGACCAAGCAGAATGTCTGCTCACAGCATATATCAAAGTTCAGTTGTATTAAATTTTCACAGTTTTTGAAAATACTGGAAAATGTAGCACTTTAAGTCAAAAAGGGTGTCATTTTAAAAAAAAAGTACACTCAAACCAATATTAATTTGCCTTTAGGCAGTCAGCAGAAAATATTACTTTTTTAAGAGACAGATGTAACAGATTAAATGTATTATTTATGTAGCAACATGACAGCATGACCAGAAATTAATTTTTTGTCCAAAAAAAAAAGAGCAGGAAGACACCAACTGGGAAAGACTCCAAAGCCAAACAACTCTGGAACCTAATACTCTGTCAGAGTTCTTTAAACTTTTAGAAAATTGGCCATCTCAAAGTTACATACAGCACATCTGATTACATTCAACCCTTAGTCTATATGTGAACAATGAGCAATGGACTGAAATGGGGAGCGAGGGGAATCTGCACCTCAGTCCAGCTAGGGCTAAAGAAATTCATGATAGAAACACTGAAAAATCTGTTTCTTAACACTACAGAAAATCATAAAGATAATTGTTTCCATATTTGCATAGACAAGTACAAAGGGATTTTTTGGACAGATTTTACAACAGCAATTACAAAATATTTCCATTAAATACATTACTTTTCACACATGTATGAATATACTTCAGTTTTAACAGAAATTTGTTTTTCATTTTCAGTTTCCTAACATTCCAAAGAAAGTATTACTTAACCCAAAAAGTCTAATACATACAAGTACCAACTTTACTGAACTAACCCAGCCTGCAAACTCTACACATCCATTTAAATGCTACATGAAAAATTTCATTAAATAGCCATGAAATATATGTGTTAAATTTTAAATTTGCAACCACAGCAAAGAAAAAGATAAAAGTTTTGAACATTTCTATACCTGCTTAAAGCTGTGTTTGTATTCCTTGCAAGCAGTTTCAACTGTAAACTTTGTACTGAATATGTTACAAAGTTTTGCACCATAGCCATTGCGCCCACCTGAAAAAAACAACATATAACAAGTTTTCTACAGCAGAGCCATATTTATGATATAGAGTATGCCAATAAAGTAAAATGTTCCTTCCTATGTAAGACAAGAGTTATCAACAGCTACTAAAGGATGCCAAAGACAGAATTTCACACTACGTCCAATCTGGCACAACTGTTTCTGCCTCAAAGTGGGCAGTTTGCTCTTCTCCCCAAGTCCAGGATGCTCCCATTGCTTCCCTCATGTTGATCTACCAGTTGCTTGCTGAAAGGCAAGTGACTCCAACATCCTGACCCATCTGAAAACTAGATCATGATCAAATCTAAATCACTCTGCAAACACACACCATAATATGGGCAAAATACATGGGGTAGGATAGAACAGAATCTTTCATTCACGACCTAAACTAGGGTCACTTTAAATTTAGGAGAATAAATCATCTCCTAATTTATTAAAACTACTTTTCCCTTCATTTCAAGGGTATAAATATTTAAGTGCTTGTAAACATTATAATTAAACCACAAAACTATGTTGTTTGTTACTGAACAAAGAGTAGTGACATGAAAGATGTAAATGTAAAGTTCTCTGCAAACACTGGTATCAACAAAGAAAACAATAAGCTATGTTTTTTAAGTCTTTTCACTCTAATAAAGAACTCTAGCAACGGTGATTAAGTAATCATCTGTTATGCAACAGAATAGAAAAAGTAAGAAAAGCAAGATACTGAAGAAGCATAGAACGGCTTAATTAAGAATAAAAGAAAGCATGTTAAATAGTCTTACCTGTAACTTTTTTCTCATCATCATCATAGTTGCTGGATGTTAGCAGCTGCCCAAAGATTAAAGCAGGTACATACACTTTTTCAACTTTGTGTTCCACAACTGGTATGCCCTTTCCATTATTCCATATGCTAATAATGTTTGATTCCCTATAAAATAGTGAAGACATCAAGCCAATTAATGTAATCTTGCAAACTGGCTCCTGTGCACATGTTACCTGCTTAAATAACTACATAAAAATTAACAAAATACCACATTCAGAACTTTTTGTTAATTACAAAAAAAACCACACTCATTTGTGCTTATTAGATGTCTTAGGAGATGGAGCATAATTGTCCATACATGACAGCATTCTGTATCATAAAAATGACCCCCAAAAACCTGTTTGAAAAGCTTTCACCATCATTATCTGCAACAAGATCCTGAAGTTCAGTGACAGAATTACACTCAAGTTAGAGATGTAGCTTTTTAGGTTTCATTCAAGACTGCCCAGACACAGCCAAGTTATCATCTGTTTAAAACTGTTATTTCCAAGTTATGATAAATATTGTAACTTATTTAATGTATCAGTGCCAAAATCCACCAGCTTTTGGCATCATTAATACTTCCAGCTCTTACACTGCATTTTCATTTTTGAGCATTAGAGAGTTCAAGATCCTGACAGGTCAAGGAGATTTACACTACCATTTCCCTCCCACTCCATGATGAAAGCAGAAAAACTACTTCTCGGCATATTTATCCTAAGGGTTAGGTGTGAAAATCTGGTGTCTAAAATACTTATTATTCAGTCAAATGTCAGTGAAAATGAAGTAATAAAGGCGCCCAATCAGCACCTATTTAAATACAGTATTTCTCATTAGAAATTATCACTTTAAATATTCAGTCTCAAAAGACAGTGATAATGCCATATAAGCAATGTGAAGTTTCAGTGTGATACAGCTGACTAATTCAAACATAACCTTATCCTAATGCTAAAGGAGATAACATAGAAGTTCAAGAGGTGCAAAACTGTGTTACAAAGCCTCAATGCTGGTATTTAGCACTAACCTGTCTGGTTATACTTATGCAGTGCCATGGATTTTATGATCTTCTGGTTTTAATTTTCAATCAACATTAATGAATGGTTTAGGAAAGTAAATTATTATAAATTCAGAATAGTAACCGCTTTTAATTCACTTCTTCATCTTAAAATATGAAGGCAATGGAAATAATCCCAAAAATATTGTATTTTTAAGAAATCCAATTTCATTAGAAAAATTGTTTGTACAAATCTAAACTACAATAGCACTGGCAGGGAAGAAAAATGAAAACATGCTACTACTTACGGATCAATGGATATTTTAATACAAGTCATATTCTTGTCCCTCTGCTTGTTGTCAGCAGCATTTACTATGAAACAAAGCAGCACAAATTAACACTTCATAGGAGCAATAATTAATTTCTTGATCTGTAGAACTGATGGTGCACATGTTCCACTGCGAGTTACAATAGTCCAGGTATTCTTAATCTAGCAGCTCTTTGTATATTCTGTATTCTTACTACTGAAGTCTATAAATATGACCAAGTATCTGCAAGAAGATATTTTTCAACCTTCTTATAATTACTGACTCTATTTTAGCAGTTAGACTATCTTAGAACTAAATATAGAAGTGTATTTTGTGAGCCTGTTCTTATAACTGTTCTTAACATACCGAGCACTTCATTCTTCTCTCACTGTGCTTGCTTGGATATTTATTACACCATGTGTGTCAAAAAACCTAAAAAATTAAATGCATCACCAGATCAGTTTACACATCGTTTAGCCACTGAAACCTACTAAAAATGTCACATCCATTAAGGAGTCTTTTGAGTGCAGCAGAAGTTTTCTCTAAGGGGCCTGTGAGACTTACAACTAACAGCCTACAGAGTTTAGGATCAAGATAAGGATAACTGGAAATTAACATTTGCTCAACATTTAATTGAACTGCACTCCAATGTCTATTAACTACAGAAAGCAGAAACGTGACTGTGGCCACTAAGTATGAAAACACCTTACAATAATTTTCAGCATTTGTCCCATCACTCATGAAACAGATGAAAGTAAAACCCCAAAACACCAAAACACAGTGTCTTAATAGGTGATACAGATATCACTATAAGAACAGATATTTCACGGTGCTTTTGCTAAAACCATTAAATGCACTTTCATTCAAAAGCATGCAGAGCTACAATGTCACATTTTCATACTGTTATTATGCTGACCCCTAGCTCTCAAACCACACTCCAAGGAGCACTTATCAGTGCTACACAATGAAGCAATAAGCCATAAGGTACTACAATAATGACAGGATAATGATCTTCCTTTTGAATGGCACAATATGGAAGTGGTCTCCCTACTATGAAGAGCCCATAAATTCCATCCATGAGGCAGCACTCAAAACAGCCATGATGAAAGATTTTCATTCACGTATTTATCAAGTTAAAAAAAGAAAAACAACATTCTTTTCTACCTGGCAAAGACACAGTCTTTATTGCCTCCAAGATAGCAATGCTGTGAAGCACAGTTTTAGAAAAGTGGAGAAGTTCTGAACCTAATGAAGGTCACGACATAATTTCCACTGACCTCAACAGATCATAATTTAGTTTATGTGGTAATCCTGCCAATCCTTACAACAGCACTTCATGAAAACTGATAAACCCAAGATTTCCTGCCAGTTAGCCCAACATCTCAGTTCAGTAGACAGCACACTATTCAAATGTTGCACATCTCTATTGCTGGTTAGTCTCCAATGTGTGTCTGTCACCAAGAGAATATCATGTACTAATAAGTCACAGTAACTCAGAGACTCAAACCAGAATTTTCCAAAAGTCATTTGTTTGTGCCTCAGACACCTCAGTCACTGCTTTTTAATGGCAATGTGATACCTATTCATTTTAAAACTGCCTGAAGCCTAGAAATGATCCATGAAAGACCACCACCACCATCATTCTGTACAGAAGGAGGAAGTTTGTATGATTCATGAAATGATGATCTGAGTTAACACTCAGACAACATACAAGTTGCATTCTTTCAGGAGAATAACCTTCTTTCAAATGCCACTTAAAGCTGTAGCCCTAGTCAACACCACAGATTAAAAATCTTTTAACAAGAGTGATCATAAAGAATGATCTAGTTTGGACAGTTAGTAATAAATATTTACACTTTCTTACAAGTCAACTGAAAACTCTTCCCTCTTTAAACAGTTCTGTAGTGCTGGAATTCATCAAAACTTTTATGCATTACTGTTTAGGGGGACTCCAAGTCTGTGATTTAAACTTAGAGAATGCTCAGAAGAGCATTTAATCCAGAATGTTCAAGCATTATATATATTGTTAAAAATACTTACCAAGAATTTCATCAAAGATCTTGTACAGGCCTGGAACAAAGGTAACTTCTCTGCAATTCATTCCTACATCTTCATCATAAACCCACATTAACTACATGCAAATAAAATAAAACAAAAATATTTACTGTCTTGGTAACCCAGTCTATGATTCTCTAAGATCTATTTCCTTCAGGAATTCTACTCTTGCAGTGTGATTGCTGCTGTCATGCAACACAAAAGCAGAAGCAGAAGTCTGGCAAAAATTACAACTGTACCCACAAAGAACTCCATAATGGAAATCCATTCTTTTCTGCTTGGCTAGGAGCTCCTAACAGTATAGACAAAGAAGTTCAAAGCAACTTGCAACTTCACAAAAACAGCTGAAAAAAGTGCCAGCAGGAGGCTTGAATTCTGTTATCTAACTAAACAAACAGACCAAAGCATTTTTGGACCTAGAACAAATGCTACTTACAAATATGCATATATACTTGTGTTCATATAGGCACGTTGGTATATGCACACAACTGTGTGTTTACACACATAGCTGTGTTTATGTTTTGACTGGACTTTGGTATTTTCTAGGCATGTCGTTTCAGATGAAGCATGTGCTGCTTGAAGAGCTCTTTTCATGAACCCTTCCTACACATAAACAAAGCCTCTGTTTTTAACATTATGATTCAGAACACTCAGAAAAGTAGAGATGTGACTATTTATCAACCAGAATAATAATTTCCTCATGAAAACAACAAAACCTAAAAATTTAGTGATACTTACCTGAGTTAAGGGTTCAACTGACCCAATGTAGGTATCTGGACGGAGGAGGATGTGCTCAAGCTGAGTCTTCTTCTGATAAACTCTCTCAACAGACATCTTCTTTGAAGTGTCATTTTTATTAATGCTTTCTGAGTCTTCCTTTTTTGATGCATTCATCTGATTATCAAATAATGTCTAAAAAAAACAAAACACCAAACCAACAATCAACCTCATTCATTCAATCTATCACTCTCAGGATATAAACAAATTCTGACAGAGATTTTAATCACAATCAAAACTTGTCACATAATTTAAATGCTAAGTTTTCAGATGTATTAAGATCAAGCTATCCCCGCATCAGAAAAAAAAGACAAGAGATAACATGACAGATTCTTAACAAATTGTAACATATTCAAACCTTAGCAATTTACTAAGCACAATAAACCAAAGTAAGGAAACAAGAGTCTGTTACAAAAGACACCCACCTCCTTGGGTTAGGCACCTATAACACCCAATCTGTGCTTAGCATTTGCATCATAACCACTGAATACTGTTCTGAATGATAACAGTAAAACTACTCTCCCAGTTTTGACAATTCCTTCAGCGGTTTTTAAAATACACTGTAATGCTTTTCCTTATGGCTTCCCAATTGCTGTAATTTACATTCTCTACTGAAGTGATTAAACCTGAGACAATCCCAGTTTAGAATGCTTTATGGTAAAATAAGCCAAGGACTGTAAAAAACAAAATAGACTCACATAGGCTAATGTCAGAATTTAAATAGAATTCTAGCCTAATCAGTCGAGATTTTATGAAAAATATCTTGAAAAACAAGAAAAGTAAACTAATCCATATCTGGAGGGACGATACAGGGATTGCACCTTTCAGCAAATTTTTCCTCCTAAATACCTCTTTCCCATTGAACTAAAACCATATAAAAGGAAAAGTTCAAATCTCTCCAAGCAACAAATGCAGAACAGCTCCATTCTGAGACAATATGACCATATATACCAAAAGACTTGGTATGACATTTTACAGTAGGAATTTTCTACCCGTGAATTGGAATTATCTTAAAAATACCATTAAGCATAACCTGAACTCAGATGATTTATTTGCCTGGCTAGAGACGTAACAGAAAAAAATCTTGTTCCCACCTGCCTAGTAGCTGAAATTGCCTTCTTCTCTTAAGAGGGGTTTTACTAACTCTGAAGCAGGTGTTACACCACTAGTAAAAAACACTGACAAAGAATGAGAACAGAACCCCCTTGCCACTCGATTAAATATTTTTCTCTTGTTTAGCTGTTCCCAGTAAATACCTATAAAAAGTAGGTATAGGCTAAACTCCAACCCTGGAATAATGAGTCACCATGCAAATTTCTCAGCCGAAGAAAAAATATCACTTCTCTCTCAATCCAGCCTTTGTTGCAGTCTCAGATAGCACTAAGAGCAAAGGGTAAGAAAGCATATAAGCACATAGGAACAAGGAGCAAAGGATACTGAACTCACCCAAACAACTACTAACAAGGACAATTCTCCTCACATTAATCCAGTTTTTCTTCTCCAGTTTCTACTATTTAAGCTTTGATGCCTATACACATCCCCACCTGGCCCAGCTCAGCAGGCACAGGAATAAAGCACTTCATTTTCTATTCAGAACAAGGTAAATTACCTTTCTCTTCCAGTTTAGAAATCACATTTTCCCTAGTTTATTTATGGAAATGCTGCAAAACACATACTTCCAGAACCCTTGAGACAAGCAGACTGTGTGCACCAGCGATGACAACAGCCAATTACTTGGCCATGAGTAAACCTGAACATGCCAAATGAGAATCAAATTCTCTACTAGCCAGTGCTGTCTGAAAGCATACAGAGAAAGAGCAGAATAGAACCCAGGGGATCTCACAATCCTGCACCAGGATTACAGACAACAGACTTGGAACCAAAACAGTAACACTCATGACTTTTCTCCTGGAGCCCATCGCATCTCCCACCAAACGGAGGTTCCAAAATCGCATACATGTGTGATTAGGATGCTTTGGTATCCAAGTTATTTTAGCCTCCACACTGTCATTTGGTCTTAACTGTGACACCTGTCACCACCACCCTGAAAAGATTAGCCATGGATCAGCTAACCAAGCAGAAAAGAAACAGGACTTTGCACAAAGATACATTAAACTGACACATGGAAGCAAAGGAATGAGAATTGTTACTAAAGAAGCATTACCAATAGCTGCAACATAAATTTTATTTCACTGAAGTAGTCCTGTGAAAGATGTCCACACTTCCAGTGAGTTTCACTGTATGTGTATATAAATATTTTTTACTTTATGATCATCTTTGATATCATACATCATAGGAGTCACCCTTAGCTCACTTACTGGTTCCACAGCTCTGTTTTACTATGCTTGCTTGTTCTAAAGGAACCAGTAACTAGCAGGAAAATAAAATACTAGTTCTCAGATAAGGTAAGTGTTTCAAAAAACAAGAAGAGGAGATGCAAGTCGTGTAGAAAGCAGAACTACAGGTGGAAAGACCAACAGAACCTTATTCAAATTGTTTTATTTTTCCCCCAGTTCTTAGGTTTCAAAAGGCTTTTCCAATCAGTGAAGTATGTGATGAGCAGTTATCACATGCCAGTTCTTCAGTTGTCATGTACCTCAGTATTGTGTTCGTAGGATTGTTCTGAGACCGCTCTCCAAAATGCTTCTACTTGAAGAGCACCTGAGCACTAGGGCCACTGTCTTTGATACAACACTATGAAATAAATTTCTGTTTTCCATGAAAATCTTACTGACAGCTTGGAGGAGTTTATACTTTACAATTTGCCAGTGAGAAATGTATAGAGGATCCAAACTGTATCTTCTGTTGAGATGCTACTCCCAGATTGCTGTCACATTGACAGACAATCAAGGTCTCACCCAGACAAATTTTGCTGCCTAAAAAAACAGGTAATCCTGCAGAAGTGGGGGAACAGCGAGTTTGAGAACTCTTGCAGAACAGTGAATGTGCTTTAACCCAGCAGTAGTAAGGATCCTCTGCTACTGTACTCCCTGTGACAGCTATGACTATTATAATTTGTCACATACTAATGGAAACACAATAATGTATGATTTAAGAGGGAAGAAAAATACACAAAGATTGGCATAACATTGTTTTCTTCCTGGTCAGTGAATATTAAAAAAAAAAGTAAGTAGTCTCAAAGAACTGTAATTCTATATAATTTTACTAAGAGTCACAGACATTTTTTCAGTACACCCTACTTAAATACTTGTTTCATTGTCATAGTGGGACAGGTTTTATTTGTACAATATTCCAAGTATAGTACATATTCTGCATGCAAAAATTACTCTGAGTTTCTACTATTTAAAATACACGTAAGTATATGAGGAGAGCCCTCCCCCCTCCCTTTTTTTTTAACTGGGCAAGCACTTAACCATGGTGTTGTTAAACTGACGATCTCTTCTGTCTATTTTGGAATTGTCTCAAGAATGCCTTTTGTATTCTGTCCTGTATGAAAGATCTTCATATTGTTAAAGCTCCAATAACATTTCTCAAAACAGCACCAGCTGTTGTTTCATGAGAAAACCCCTAAAGAGAATTAACCAAGTGTCACAAAGGGCTTAAGTCTTCTGCTTCACAGGAAGACTGCTTTTGGCTTGTTTGTTTACAGGTTACCCAACTTTTAGGGTCTGCTTTGCAATCTTAATGTTACCAAGTATTAATTATTTTTAATTTCTTTTTGACACAGCGTATGGTTTTCCCAATGTTCCTGTGACATTCAAGACTTGACAGATCCTTAATAATCTTGCAGACTTTCTAATCCTCCAGACTGATGACAAACATCCACATCCATGCAAGTCAGCAAGGCAACAATCCTTAAGTAGTTTGGAAAGCTATAACCCATTGTATTGCTCATTATTCTTCAAAGACATGCAGCTACACTTCATACTGTGACCTCAGATGTAGGCAGCTTCCTAGATGCTCCACTCACACACAGCTGTATGGAAAACCATACCATTTGCTGCACAGTTTACTACATCACGACTATTGTTCATAGTGTCATAACTATGTTTCATCATGGTAACTGCTTTCTCTGGTATGATTGCAATGACCACAGAGCTTCTCTTTTGAAGTTGTTTTCGCCATAAATTTATCTAGTGCTGTGTGCAAGCTGTAGTCATCCGTTCCTCCAGTAATCTCAAGAGTCAGACCTTTTAATAGATAACAGCTTGGCAACACGACTTTTACTGCCCATCTTCAACATATGAACTCACGTGTTTCATTTTGGCATCTTCTTTCTTCACATTTTTTGTCTCTTTTTTTCTACTTACATTCTCACCCGTTGACATTTCTGTGCATGTGTGACATTCATATTAAGTCAGAGATTTTTATTGCCTTTTTTTTAAATGAAAACTGGGTCATGTCATCTTTCTTTGCATTCTGAAATCATCTTGAGTCACCATGCTGAGTTTGGTTACTTATGCTGCAAACAGCTGTACTTAATACAGCTAAATCTTAATATACATTTGATCTGGAGCATGTGACAGCACCAGAGAAAAGCTGTTCCTATCTAAATGCACAATAAAATGTAAAGCTACAACAAAGATGGCAGGTTTCATCATCAGTTTCAATCTTGCCATAACTGGAATATACATCTTTGGTTTGACTCCTTAG